GCCAGCGCGCAGGGGGAGGCGGCCGAGCCGCGCGCCGCCCTCCGAAGGGAGAGCGCGGGAAGCGCCCGGCCTCCCTGCAGGGGACGCCTAATTGCTTCTAATTACCTGCTGTCCCTCGCTCGCGCGGATGCTGGACTGACATTTAAGATGAGTTTGCCTTTTCTTCTTTTTCTTTTCAAGTCGAAGAGCTTTACTCTAGAGGCCCACTCGGAGTTCTCCGAGTTGGCTTGGCTCCGAACGGAGGGGCGGGGCGGCCGGGTCAGTGGGTCCTTGGGGTCCACGACTCCTCTAGCCCAGGTCCGATCCTACGCAAGCGTCACAGTGACGATGCACTGCGGGAGGCCCGCACCCCTAGCAGGCCCTGAGCCCAGGTGGCAGACTGGCTCGGAGAAGCAGGGTCAGCCGGGGCAGAAGACTGCCCTTCACCAACAGAGGCGCTCACTGTTATAGTTTGGGGTTTTGCAAGGGGAATAATATAATACAGGACCCATATTTTATAAGATTATTTAAAGAGTTATATACGGAGTTATATACAGAGAGAGAGAGTTACATACAGAGAGAGTGCAGGAGATCTGTCCACACACTAAAGACCAAAGAATCCAGCCAAGGGCCTGGATCCCACACCAATGTCCTGCATGTGTGCAGCTGAAGAGCTGGAGCCCATAACAATGTCTCATGCAGGCCCATTTCAAGGATCTGCCCTGAGAAGGCCCAAAGGTCAGTGGTGGAAGCTAGAAAGTCTGTGCCAGCGGGATGAAGGATCTGTGCTAGCAGATTGAGGGATCTGAACCGGAACCAGGAAGCGAAGCTCAGCGTAAGAACCTGAGCTCCCTGAAGAGTATCGCAGCCATCCTCAGTGACAGTGAGGTCCCAAGCTCCTCCGATGGTGAGGACAGCTGAGTTCCCTTCAGGAAAGCCAACACAACAAGCTTCTCCAGGAGACTGGCAGTGCACCACCTTCCTCTTTGGAGCCAGGAAGCGATGCTCAAAGTGAGGACCAGAGCTCCCCCAAAGTGAACCGAAGCTATTCTCAGAGACGACCAGGTCCCGAGCTCCTCCTCTGATGAAAACAGCCAAGTTCATCAGGAAAGCCAACATGACAGGGTCCTCCAGCACAAGAGCCCAAGAGAACCAGCAGCTCCCTAACAGCTTCCCAACAGCTCCTATCAACTCCCCACAGCCTCTCTAGTTCTTCCTCTCCAGTTCTGCCTCTTAGACTGTTGGCAGCAATTGTCAGGAAGGCCTCCCACACCAAGCACCACCACGCTGGCTCAGTTCAGCTGGGTGTTACAACTTGACCACCAGTGGTCAATCCACCACATGCCCCCTGCAATAGGATGAACCAACAGGGGCTCCTTCAAGTGTGAGAACATCCCTGAAAACTACAAGAAAATGCCTCAGTGCTTCCCCCTTCCTCTTACAACTGGAACCTGTGCTCCCTGACACCCCGGTATGCCCTAAAGATGCTGGGGTGCCCCAATCCTCATTTCATGCTCCTAACCAGTTGCTCCTTTGAAGATCCTCTTCTCTGATAATGTGTACAAACCACATTAGATGTCACCAGACTTGTGACTGGAGTTACAACCCCAGAGCTAGAAACACACAGGATCCTCCAACCAAAGTGTCAGTTGCTGTGGGTTTCCTCTCCCATTTGTGCAGCTGAAGAGGGTTTTCCAAGAACAAAGGTGATTGGGGTCATCTCCAGTGTTCTATGGAATTTCTTCACCTGCACCTCTCCCTGGAAAAGATAGCTACTCTGAAAATAGTATTTCTTAATAATTTGATTGGAGGGCATAAGTTCTACCCTCTTTTGGCAAATATAAAGCATTCAAATAGCCTGTTGGCACTGGTTTTATTCAAAGCCATCTGATAGATTGCAAATGCAAATAGTTTTACAGCTCTGGAACTACAGTTTGCATGGAGGCATGCAGGCAGCTCGGTGTAACACAAACAGTACTCAGCACCTGGCACTGCGCAGGCCTGGGCAGATGGGGCCTGCCTCAGCAGCAGCAAAATGCCAGTCGGCTGGTGGGCAGGGTAAGGCATTGCAGGAGAGGACAGCATCCTCTTAAGTTCCAAGTTTTACCAAAGCCGGACGCCAAGGATGCTCTACACATTCTTTGCTTTATCACACGGGAAGTGTGAGCACCATTGGAAATAACCCTTGAATGGTCTTTTTATGGCTTGTGTCTAAATGTCCCCCCAAAGCCTCATGTAGTTATTGGTGGGACTTTTTCAGAGGTGGCTGAATCTAGAGTGTGTGACACAGGGATTGATTTGTGGTGCAATGCTAAGATTAAGGGTGGATGATTACTAAATCAGTCTGCTGATTAATTTGGCACCACTGTAATCTCAGCAGCCTACATACAACACAAAAGGGGCAGGAAGATATTCCTAAGGTCCCTTGTTGCTTTGCTACCTTCTGCCCACCATGAATGTTTCTCTTTTGTGAGGCCTGTTTACCAAGCCACCCTGCCTTGGAGCCAGCCGATTTTGAACTGACCCTCTACAAACTGTGAGCCAAATAAACTTTTCCCCCTTTAACTTTGAGTGTTGCGTATTTTGTCTCAGCAACAAGAAAAGTAAGACAGGTCTCTTTCTTTTAATACATTTAAAAGGGCTCTCTTTTACAACCCTTATTTTTACATGGGCTTTATTCTTCTATTGCATAAACAACTACCTACATGTAAGTTCAAGAAAAAGTTGTATAGTGTAAAAAAGAAAAAGAACGTGGAAATCAGTCAGAGCCAGATGCACGTGCATGTCTCCACCAATTCCTACATGCACAACCTTGGGTAAGTAAGTTAACCCATCCTGTCTCATCTGCAATATAAAGATGAAGGTATTCTGAGGTTTGTCCTGAGGATTAGTTTTGGTGTGGATGAATGGATTAATGAAGTGGCAGCCCAAAATCAAACTCATTCCAGGAAACCACTGCCACCTTAGGAATAGGTGATACCCTATGAAAAGGCAAAATCCATATCGTGCTTCAGTAGATTAAGGTAGGTGCTCAGGTTCTGCATTTCTAACCACCTCCCACGGTGTAGACACAGCTGGGCCTGTGCTGATCCCCAAACAGTGAGGTAACAGGTGTATCTGCATCTTAAAAAGAAAGTGCACAGACGGCCCAGCCTCACAGCTTTTCTTGTTAGGTGTTGAACAAAGAAGGAACCTGGTGGATTCTCATACACAGCCTGCCAAGCTAGAGTGTGTCGAGAAGAGAGTAGAAGCAAAGAATGCTTGAGAATGGCCCCGGAGCTCCTCTGGCTATTTCACCAACCTGTGGTGACAGCAAGAGGAGACATGGTCTTAGAGAAACCAGAGCAGCAAGTCAAGGACAAAAGAAAAAGCTGTCAGACCATCCTCTTGTCTTCTCTTCCCTTCATCCTCCATCCACTCATTTGCTCTACACAATAGCACTGGTACATCGCCAGAGGACAGTAATTCCCAATCCAGTATATATAAAATACATATGTTATATAATGCAATTAGTACATATAATAAATTATTGTTTATAAATATGATTTATAATATGAAGTATGCATAGTATATTACATAAATATATGCAGTATAAATACATCATACTGTTATATAATATGTATGGTTAATACATTATGCATAATATGCATATTTTATAAACTATTACATATTATATGTATTGTATATTGTGTATTATATTGTACATAATGTTATGTTCCTATTATATATAATGGTATATATAATAAGATTATGCATAATAGGCAATATGTTATGCATAATACATATATAATATGCTAGAGACAATCCACATAATATATGCCATATATAATATGTATATTGTATATAATGTATATTATATAATCATGCCATATATCAATTATACCATAAAATTATGTTTTCATATTTTTTATTTTATGTATATTTTTGTAGGGTGCTAGGGAATGAACCCAGGGCCTCACACACTAGGCAAGAACTACACCATGAGATAGACACCCCAATCCTGCATATATTTTAGTCTAAGCAATTAATTTTATTCCCAATAAAACCAAATCACTTTAGTGACATGTTTTACAGCTTATTTTAGTATTTCACCAGTAAATTTTACACTCAGCAATAATACCTCCAATATTTACTATTATTAAAGTTATTCTGTTGATTTTATTTATATATCCTTATAACTCTACTAGACTTTAGTATCTTTACATCCAAATATAAATGATCCACTTCATAACTGAATGCCTAATAGGAAAATGAAGTTCCTTTCCATTCCAGCACGAAACGAGCTAGGTCTTTGATAGAATTCCACCACATCTGAGGCTCACGTTTTCAGTGCAGTTTCGCTGTCTCTGTTTAAGGACCTCCTCTCAGGTGACTCACTGTCTGCACTAAGCCCATTGCATTTGAACACAGCCATCTATCGGTGAGGCAGCCTCACCTCCATCTGCTCCATTTTAGCATGGTCTCTCCTGCTCAGCAGTGGGAATAATGATAAGATGCAAGATAGCTAACAAGCTAGAAGAGATGCCCGAACTTCTGACTCTGGAGCTGAGCTTGTCAAGTCCAACACTGCTACTTTTAGGAGCATGTAACACCTTGCTGAGTGAGACAGGATAACGGAGGAGCACCGCCTAATCAAACCGGTGGGTTCACCTGGAGATCTGGGAGAATTTTTACACAAAAATGAACATGGGGACATTATGCAGTAGAAGGCAAAACTCACGCAGCATATAAACATTAAATTAGTGATGCCAAAGAAGTTTCCATGGCCAAAAGAAGCTTTGTGCTATAACTTCAAATTTCCTCTCACCTCTACCCACTCACTCCCATATTCTTTACACCACTCTGTCTTTAGATCTTTAGCGAACAGGAAATTCTGAAAGCCCAGTCTGAAATATTCCCACTCCCT